GGCAGTTGCCATTATGAGGTAATGAAGCCAGGAAGATGAACAGGTTTGGTGGGGACAGTGGAGATAGAGAGTCTGGCCAGGAGCTCAGTTAAACATATCACAGGAATCTGAAATAATGAAATCTCAAATAATGAAAATTCTCAAATAATAGAGCGAGTTATAGCAAAAAATAACCCTCTGCTTATCCCTGTAGGTGGAGGGGAATCTTGGTGACTTCATGTAAACATTCTCCACTCCAAAGTGGCTCTTTTCCAGAACAAAGGCAAAGACTATACTCTCCCCATAAATCTGCCTGCTCAAAACTTGTGATCTTCCAGAAATACGAGGTACCTTGATTTAGCATTTGCCTTGAAACAGGTGAGATCTGTGAAGGAACCAGAGGAGGAACTACCCAAAGATGTAGGAATGGGTGCCTGTGGTTGGGTATTGAATATTCTGGGGAGGTTTTTTTTTTTTTTTTTTGGGTGGGGGGCTGTGCTGCAAGGCATGTGGGACCTTAGTTGCCCAACAGGGATTGAACCCACACCCTCCATTGGAAGCATGGAGTCTTAACACCAGACTGACAGAGAAGTCCCCTGGTGAGCTTTTTGAGATAAATAAATCAAAATCTATGTTCTAGTTATGTTGTTTTGTGACTGTATACATATATTCACCATGGGTGTTTTTGTTGTTGATGTTGTTTTGTTTTTTCTGAATTTCGGGAAATTTCAACCCACTTCAGATGAACCAAATAAGTGCTCGGACCTGGTGCACTGGGAAGAGCCAAAGGGATCAGGTTGAGAGGGAGGTGGGAGGGGGGATCGGGATGGGGAATACATGTAAATCCATGGCTAATTCATGTCAATGTATGACAAAAACCACTACAATATTGTAAAGTAATTAGCCTCCAACTAATAAAAATAAATGAAAAAAATTTTAAAAAAATCATCATTTAATGGCATCTGATTTCAAAGCTTAAGCTCTTTGTTACTAGGCTAGGTCTTCAGCAAGGTTTTGTAATGACTGAATAAAGGAATGAAGGAATAAATGAGCCCATGGAGCAGACTAAGTAGTATCCATAGTTAGAAAACAAATCGAATCTTGAGAGATTAAGCAATTTCCCAATATAAACAACACACTGCACTGCTCCCTATGCTGTATTTTGGTGTAAATTTAATAGGCACACACTTTGGTTGATTGCAGAACAAGATTTGTCTCCTGGATTTCAACCCACACATGCCCTCTAGGCCAAGTGCCTTGATGCAGGACACAGCCTGTATACAGTATTTAAATTGTAAGGACATCATCCTTCTCAGGCCTTCTCAGTTTACACACTTGTCTCTCCCACTAGAGATCATACTGCTCTTCCAATAAAGGACAGCTTTTCATCCCCCATTAAATAACAGCAAAAAATCAGCAGGATTTCCAGAGTCACTTGTGAAAGCAAAGAATATCACATTTTTCCTCAGTGTTGATACTGTTTGAAGAATAATCAGTTTTAAGAGGAGCTACAGTGTAAACTTATGACTAGGTTAGGAAATAAAGGTGATGGTTGAGAAGTGAATCAAAAGTTAACAGACGAAAATGAGAGATGATAAAGTAATTAAAAGATCAGAAAATAGAGACGCTGAAGGTGGGGAAGAGACTGCAGTGCTTAAGACCCATATCCTTGAACTCAATACTTTTCAACTTTCTCCTTGTTAGAGAAATCATATACTGCTCTATTCATTCACACTTTTCCTTATTCATCAGACATCTCTTGATCACATGTCATATTCCAGGCGCAGCGAAAAACATCAGGTATAATTTAATCAATAGTGCATGGTCCCAGTCTTCAAAAACTATCAAAAGCCACTAGAGAAGGCCTTTGTGAATACACAGGTTCACTGCAACATCGTTTGAAAAGCTTTAGGAACACAGTGTCATGGGAGCCCAGAAGAGATCACAAATAACTTTCCTGGCTGTGTTAGGAAGGCATATTTCATCTGGATGTTCAAGAAAGAGAAGGAACTTTTAAGTTGAAAAAATAGAGGAAAGCAGTCAAGGTAAAGGGAGCCGTATGTATCACAAAGCTTCGGAACTACACAGGGTCACGGAATGTTTATCGAACAGGGAGACTTACATTGGACAGGATGAGGCCTGAAGGGTATGGTGAAAGGTAAACCTGGAGAAGCAGGTTGCGGCCACAGACAAAGTGATGCACATGATTAAGACCTAAGGTGGGGAAACACCTTTACTAACTGCCTAGCACGCATATAGTGATCTTAACATCCTCAAAAAACAATCTCGTGTCACCCTTCTTTCAAGAAAAGAACTGTTCATGTTAAGGCTGGAATGGACCTTCATGGCTTCCTGGCTTTAAAGCCACGTAGCCTTGAGTTCAAATGCTGGCTCTCCTACTTACTGTGGAAATGTCCTGAGATTGGAGTCTTTATATGTATAACAAAAATGATGGAACCTTTACAGAAATAAGTAGATAATGATGAGTTGGCTCATAGCCCACCTTGTACACAGGATATACTAAAAAAAAAAAAAAAAAAAGATATTACTCCCTCTCCCCTTCATTTAGCCCTGACTTTCTCAGGAGGCGCATACTTGACAAATAATGTTAATTCACACACACACACACACACACACACACACACATTTTTGAAGGTCTTTTGAGAAGGATATTCCACAGTTTACTCAGTATCCAGACTCTAATAGGGAATTCCTCCAAATCGAATATTCTAAGACCATCTAAGCCACTCTTGTGTTGCCCATTAATACAATGAAAAGAGTTCCACACAGCAGGGCAGTTCTTACTCTTCTGGAAAAGTCTGTGGGTCTTCAGTCTCTGTTGTCACAGTATTGACCTGTGAATTTTGCTGAAGATCAGAAGAAACAGTGAACCCAGAGGAACATTAGCATCAGCACACTGTTCCAGGGCTCTGGATGACTGCGCAGAGTAAGATGCAAATCCAGGGCCTCACCCCTCCTCTACATGCTGATCTTGATCCCTCAGAGTGTTTCTCACCCTCATCTGTTCCCTAACAACAGGCAGAACATGATTTTTCAGTATGGGCCACCCTGAAACGTTCTAGTTGCATTGTTAATCACTGAATGATTCTCATCCTGTTAGGTAAACTAACTTTAGAGTCATTGAATGTGACAACGAAAACACATCTTTGAAAGCAGCATTTCCCAAGGCGATCAGAGAAAGTGTGCAAATGCAGAATGAACAATAGAGCCTGGACTGGTTCTAGCAGATGCAAATCCCTTCTTACATCAGTGAATCTAGAAAAGTGAGTCTAAAGAGTTGATATTGCACCCCTCTGAATAACCATATTCATTATATATATATATATATATATATATATATATATATATATACACATACAACCTACACATATGAAAGTGCTTTATGTGTAGGCTTGCATGTAGTTCTAGATATATCTAAAGTTGCTTTAGATTTTGAAGATGGAGGGTTCATTATATTCACTAAAATAATTCAGAGCTTACTCCACATTAGACAGTGGAGTATGGAAAGAAAACCTCTGAACTGTTATATTTTATTGAAGAGAAAGAAGCAGGTAGCTCTTATCCCTGTGTGTCTTAGTCATTCAGTTGTGTACAACTCTTTGCAACCCCATGGACTATAGCCCACCAGGCTCCTCTGTCCATGGAATTCTGCAGGCAAGAATACTGGAGTGGGTAGCCTTTACCTTCTCCAAGGGATCTTTCCAACCCAGGGATCAAACCAGGGTCTCCCACATTGCAGGCAGATTCTTTACCATCTGAGCCACCAAGGAAGCCTGTAGCCTTACACATAGGAAAGAGAACTAATATGTTTGAGAATTTACTATAAACCACTCAGATTCTAATCAATTCACTTAATTTTCATAATAACTTTATAAATGGAGTAGCTATTAATGTCACTCCCATGTTAGGGAAGAGAAAATAGGAGCATGGACTGGTCAAAACAGTTGTCCACAATTACACAGCAATATCGAACTTAGGTGTAGGAAGGCTGCTCAGGGATCCAGTTTCTTAATCAGCACTATGCAACACCACCACTTCAAAGTATTGTGTATGGATTCCACATATTCAAATTGAAACCTTGGTTATTTCTCTTCATACTTAATTATTCCTATTCTCAAAGCCATAATAGCAAGAAGTCCAGTATCTTACTCTTGGAGAAGGCTCCTTCCCCTGAAAGCAGTTTAAATACCTGGAGAAAAAAAAAGTCTATCTATTTCCAAACTTAAGCAGGACATGGGAACTAACACTGCTTCTCATAGCCACTTGGAGTTACTACTTAACATGGGAATGGAGTTGGAATAATATAGTGGGTCAGCTCTATTTCGTGCCTGTCTCAAGACCCTACAGAGAATGCTATGGTGTTTTCTTTTAGAAAGAGTGCTAAGGCTTCTTCAGTGATAAACTTAGCCAAGAAAGTGCTACTTTACACAACTAAGGGTTTGAGGGCTTTGCTGCCATGCTGTCTTAGACATTTGTTATCACCATGAACTTTAACCTGTCTTTCCTTGGAAATAACTTAATTCAAGAGCCTCTGTCCCCTGGCCCTTGACCAAGAACTAAAAGAGAGACTCTGATTGATGTGATTTGCATAGGCAGTCTTGGGTGCTGCATGCCCCAAATAATTTGGGCAACTTCCACACTAAATCTGAGGTTTGACTCTAAAGATTCACCATGGCCCATAATCTCAAAGCCAACTACTTCTGATGCTCAATAAAATAAACAATGATCTCTTCCAATGCTTGGGGATCAACTCTCTACCCTGGACTTGCCTAGTAAGCCAGGCACTCAGTGGGTAGATCTCCAGTGTGAGGCTTTCATAGAGTAATTCCAAGGGTAATTCTCATCAATGAACTTGAAGTGTCAACCTAGAGTTAGAAGTAAAAGCTCTATAACATAGTCTGTGCTAATTCCTAAGCTTGATACAGAACAAAGTAAGGAAGAGGAGATATCTGTGTAAGCATGCCATTTTGAAGCCTCCAACAGTTCTCTCTGATCCACAGGACGTCTTCAGAGCCATGCATCCGGACCCTGACATTGTGCGGTTGTACCTTAAACCCCTGCTCATCGGAGAGCTTGCTCCAGAAGAGCCCAATCAGGAGAGAAACAAAAACGTGAGTCAGGTGTCAGGACTCAAGAGTATGTGGAGGGATGGAGACAAGTTGGCCCATATTTCAGGGCCAACTTATCATTTTCTGTGGGAAACCAGCCATCCTGCCTGGGAGGGCCTGCAATAGCATAAATGAGTGGATTCCAAATATTTCAAAATAATGTCATCCTCCTGAGATCCTCAGAATTCTTAAACCTCTGAGAAACAAAGGAATGGAATGCTTGGCCCTGTGCCAAACAGTAATTACATGTGTCTAACTACCTACTTCTTGCCTCGAACTTACACATAGCTTTTCTTTTTCCATGTCTGCTCATAATTGTTTGATGTTCCCTGTTAAACCAGTCTCCATGAGAGCAGAGACTATGTGTCCTCAGTACCTACTGGTGCAGGATTGGACTTGTAGTAGGAATTCCATAAATAGCTATTGAATCAATGATGTGAATGTATCCTATCTATAGTTCTCTTTACAATTGGAGAAATTACAGTTCCAGGAGAATAAACTACCTTCTGAAAATCAAAGAACAAGAACTTCAGTTCACCTCTTTCTGGCTCCAAACCTGTGGGGAATCCCCACAAAAAGCACAACTTTTCTTTCGCCAAGACATTTGTTGACTGAAAAAATGTCTTCAGAGGGCAGGGCCTCCATAAGACTAGAGTTCACTAGAATGGTTGCACATAAAGCTTAAAGGGGTTTTAGTCAGTATTAAGCACTGCATTTTTTTTTTTTTGTACTTCATGTTTTAAAACAGCTTACAATTGTACCATTCTTTGAAATACTTTGTACAAAGTGGTGATCCAGATATCACTGTGAGGCAGAAAGAATAAGAATTATATTTTCACTTTAAGAAATGGAAAAACAAACTCACTAGGGGCTAGGAGGAATCTCAGGAGACAGAACTGGTTACATGCAGGCCCGAGATGAATACTTGGGCTGACTCCTTAGGCCCATGTGCATCCCTCAAGGCTGTGTGTCAGGAAGCAATGCACTGTACTGAGATGAGTGCGCCCTCAGGCAGACAGCCTGGACACAGAGCCCGGTTCCTGTGACAAGGTGTAGGAGCCAAAATGCTGTTGTTCGGTCAATAAGTCACGTCTGACTCCACGACCCCGTGAACTGCAGCACGCCAGGCCTCCATGTTCCTTCACTATTTCCCAGTTTGCTCAAACTCACATCCTTTGAGTCCATGATGCCATCCAACCATCTCATCCTCTCTCTCTCTGCTCTTCCTGCCCTCAACCTTTACAGGCACCAGGATCTTTTCCAATGAGTTGGTTCTTCCATCAGGTAGCCAGCGCATTGGAGCTCCAGCTTAACCATCAGTCATTTCAATGAATATTCAGGGTTGATTCCCTATAGGACTGACAGGTTTTTTTTTTTTAATTAATTTATTTATTTTACTTTACAACATTGTATTGGTTTTGCCATACATTGACGTGACTCCGCCAGGGCTGCACATGTGTTCTGCATCCTGAAGCCCCCTCTCAGCTCCCTCCCCATCCCATCCCTCTGGGTCATCCCAGTGCACCAGCCCCAAGCACCCTGTATCATGCATCAAACCTGGACTGGTGATTCATTTCACATATGATAATTTACATGTTTCAATGCCATATTACTCAGCCATTAAAAAGAATACATTTGAATCAGTTCTAATGAGATGGATGAAACCAGAGCCTACTATACAGAGTGAACTACGCCAGAAAGAAAAACACCAATACACTATACTAATGTATATGTATGGAATTTAGAAAGATGGTAATGATAACCCTGTATGTGAGACAGCAAGAGAGACACAGATGTATTGAACAGTCTTTTGGACTCTGTGGGAGAGGGCGAGGGTGGGATGATATGGGAGGATGGACAGGTTTGATCTCCATACTATAAGGGACTCTCAAGAGTTTTCTCCAACATCACAGTTCAAAAGCAACAATTCTTTGATGCACAGCCTTCTATCGGGTCCAAATGTTACATATGTACATGACTACTAGAAAACCCATAGCTTTGACTACATGGATGATTGTTGGCAATGTAACATTTCTGCTTTTTAATATACTTTTTAGGTTATCAAGATTGCCGAGAGAAATATCAATAACCTCAGATATGCAGATGACACCCCTGTGTGTGAGAAAGTGAAGAGGAACTAAAAAGCCTCTTGATGAAAGTGAAAGAGGAGAGTGAAAAAGTTGGCTTAAAGTTCAACATTCAGAAACCCAAGATCATGGCATCTATGGGAAATGGATGGGGAACAGTGGAAACAGTGGCTGACTTTATTTTGGGGGGCTCCAAAATCACTACAGATGGTGACTGCAGCCATGAAAATAAAAGATGCTTACTCCTTGGAAGGAAAGTTATGACCAACCTAGATAGCATATTAAAAAGCAGAGACATTACTTTGCCAACAAAGGCCCATCTAGTCAAGGCTATGGTTTTTCCAGTGGTCATGTATGGATGTGAGAGTTGTACTGTGAAGAAAGCTGAGCAGAGAAGAATTGATGCTTTTGAACTGTGGTGTTGGAGAAGACTCTTGAGAGTCCCTTGGACTGCAAGGAGATCCAACCAGTCCATCCTAAAGAGATCAGTCCTTGGGTGTTCATTGGAAGGACTGATGCTGAAGCTGAAACTCCAATACTTTGGGCACCTCATGCGAGGAGTTGACTCATTGGAAAAGCCCCTGATGCTGGGAGGGACTGGGGGAAAGAGGAGAGTGTATGACAGAGGATGAGATGGCTGGATGGCATCACCAACTCGATGGACATGAGTTTGAGTAAACTCCAGGAGTTGGTGATGGATAGGGAGGCCTGGCATGCTGCAATTCATGGGGTCGCAAAGAGTTGGACATGACTGAGCGGCTGAACTGAACAGAACTTAGGTTTGTCACTGTTTTTCTTCCAAGGAGCAAGCATCTTTTAATTTCATGGCTGCAGTCACCAGCTGCAGTGATTTTTGGAGCCCAAGAAAATAAAGTCTGTCACTGTTTCTATTTTCTCCCCATCTATTTGCATGAAGTGATTGGACTGAAAGCCATGATCTTCATTTTTTGAATGTTGAGTTTGAAGCCAGCTTTTTTACCCTCCTCTATCACCTTCATCAACAAACTCTTCAGTTCCTATTCAATGTCTACCATTAGAGTGGTATGATCTTCTTATCTGAAGTTGTTTATGTTTCTCCAGGCAATCTTGATTCCAGCTTCTGCTTCATCCAGCACAGCATTTCACATGATGTACTCTGCCTATAAATTATTTAAGCAGGGTGACAATATACAGCCTTGACATACTGCTTTCCCAATTTTGAACCAGTCCATTGTTCCAAATCTGGTTCGAACTGTTGCTTCTTGATCTGGATACAGGTTTCTCAGGAGGCAGGTAAGATGGTCTAGTACTCCCATCTCGTTAAGCGTTTTCCATGGCTTGCTGTGATCCACAAAGGATCAGAAGAACAGTAAACCCAGAGGAATATGAGTAGTCAGTGAAGCAGGTGTTTTTGTTTTTGTTTTTGGAATTCCCTTGCTTATTCTATGATCCTACAGATGTTGGGAATTTGATTTTTGGTTCCCCTGCCTTTTCTAAATCCAACTTGTATATCTAGAAATTCTCAGATCAAGTACTGTTGAAGACTAGTTTGAAAGATCTTGAGCATTACCTTGCTAGCATGTGAAATGAGAGCAAGTATGCAGTACTTTCCACTGTTTCTCCATCTATTTTCCATGAAGTGATGGGACCAGATGCCATGATCTTTGTTTTCAGAATGCTGAGCTTCAAGCCAACTTTTTCACTCTCCTCCTTCTCTTTCATCAAGAGGCTTTTTTGTTCCTCTTCACTTTCTGCCATAATGGTGGTGTCATCTGCATATCTGAGGTTATTGATATTTCTCCCGGCAATCTTGATTCCAGCTTGTGCTTCTTCCAACCCAGCATTTCTCATGATGTACTCTGCATATAACTTAAATAAGCAGGGTGACAGTATAGAACATTGACGTACTCCTTTTCCTACTTGGAACCAGTCTGTTGTTCCATGTCCAGTTCGAACTGTTGCTTCCTAACCTGCATACAGGTTTCTCAAGAGGCAGGTCAGGTGGTCTGGTATTCCCATCTCTTTCAAAATTTTCCACAGTTTACTGTGATCCACACAGTCAAAGACTGGCATTGCCAATAAAGCAGAAATAGATGTTTTTCTGGAACTCTCTTGCTTTTTAGATGATCCAGCATATGTTGGCAACTTGATCTCTGGCTCCTCTGCCTTTTCTAAAACCACCTTGAACAGCTGGAAGTTCACGATTCTTGTATTTCTGAAGCCTGGCTTGGAGAATTTTGAGCATTACTTTACTAGCGTGTGAGATGAGTACAGTTGTGTGGTAGTTCGAGCATTCTTTGGCGTTGCCTTTCTTTGGGATTGGAATGAAAACTGACCTCTTCCAGTCCTGTGGCCACTGCTGAGTTTTCCAAATTTGCTGGCATACTGTGTGTAGCACTTTCACAGCATCATCTTTCAGGATGTGAAATAGCTCAACTGGAATTCCATCACCTCCACTAGCTTTGTTCATAGTGGTGCTTTCTAAGGCCCACTTGACTTCACATTCCAGGATGTCTGGCTCTAGGTGAGTGATCACACCATCATGATTATTTGGGTCGTGAAGACTTTTTTGTACAATTCTTCTGTGTATTCTTTCCACCTCTTCTTAATATATTCTGCTTCTGTTAGGTCCATACCATTTCTGTCCTTTATCGAGCCCATCTTTGCATGAAATGTTCCCTTGGTATCTCTAATTTTATGAAGAGATCTCTAGTCTTTCCCATTCTCTTGTTTTCCTCTATTTCTCTGCATTGATTGTTGAGGAAGACTTTCTTATCTCTCCTTGCTGTTCTTTGGAACGCTGCATTCAAACAGGAATATCTTTCCTTTCCCTTTGCTTTTTGCTTCTCTTCTTTTCACAGCTATTTGTAAGGCCTCCTCAGACACCATTTTGCCATTTTGCATTTATTTTCTTTGGGGATGATTTTGCTCACCACC